TTTGTTTTCTTCTATTCCATACTTACATTCCTCTAGATTTTTAGTTTATTATTAAATCTGGATGCTTGCCCTTAAAACTTCTCATTTCCATACCTTTAACTCTCATCATGTTCTGCAACTTGAACCAAAGCGACTGAAGTGGGTTGTTTCCACATATTTCCTCCTGCCACCTAGCCTGTCCCTTTCCCCAGAGCACAGCAAATTCACTTTCATCACAGCAGGTGTTCCCGGACAAAAATCTAACTGTGAGCCCAGAATGGGACCCTCCGCTATGGAAAACAGCTTGGCAGTATCTACCGAAGCTAAATATACACATGTTCTATGACCCAGCAATTCTACTCCTAGAAATGCCTACACACACACACACACACACACACACACACACACACACACACATCCCAAACCTATGTATATGTAAGAACATTATTTGCAGCAGCCAAATCAGAATTGTGCAAATGTCTTTCAACATTTAGAAAGAGTAAATAGAGAAAAGGTCACACAATGGAATCCTATACAGCAAACAGACAGACAGACAGACTAAAAAACAAAAAGACCTGGATGAATATCACAAATAAAAAATAAGCAAAAGGCCGAAACCGGTTTGGCTCAGTGGCAGAGCGTCGATCCGGTTCGATTCTGGTCAGGGGCATGTACGGTACGTTGGTTGAGGGCACATCCCCGATAGGGGGTGTGCAAGAGGCAGCTGGTCGATGTTTCTCTCTCATCGACGTTTTTAGCTCTCTATCCCTCTCTCCTCCTCTCTGTAAGATATCAATAAAATATATATTTTTTTTTTAAAAAGTAAGCAAAAGAAGTAGGAATGAAAGGGTACATGCTACCTCAAGGTATATTTCTATTTAAATATCAGGAATCAAAATAAGAAAACATAATAAGAACAAGACTGTTGCAGGTATGTTTTGCCTCGAAGGAAACGTGAGAATACAATGATCTAGATCAAAAGAACAAAACTGAGGGAACGAAGACCTTTTCATTGTAGACAGGGAAAGGTGGTGAACATAAAGAAGGTCTCGGAGAAAACAGGAAGAGTTCCCTGAAGCGGGACCCTGGGTGGTCCGTCCCTCACTCCATCTGACTTCTGTTTGCTGAGCACTGGGCTATGAGTGAGTGGGAGCATGAACACTCACGGCTTGTTGACCAATACTGGTGCTCACTGAGCTTAGTGAGCGAGTGAGCTCTGCCTCAGACAAGCTGTTACGTGGAAATCCAATGTGTAAACAGATGAAAGTGTTATTGTGCTCCTCTGGGTGAAATGCAAGGCTCGGAGGCAAGGATGGGAGGCACCTCGGATCTGCAGTCACATGCCAGCCTCCCCTGCAGCCCCCAGGAAGGCCCCAGATGACCCTTTTAGAGTGAGAAAACCATGCTCACCCCATGACCCCCAATGACTGAGTCGATCTGAGGCATAAAAAAAGGGGAGCCTCCCTCTCTCACCATTCCATGCTTCACCCGGCCCAAAGACACACAGTCAGGTAGACAGCCTTAGGAAATACAAAAGGCTCCTTCTTAGGTGAAGTACTGACAAGGCCTAAGGAAGTAACCAGAGGTAGAGTGAGTGACAGTGAATGTATCTCAAACAACCTCATATGGACAGACAGACATGTCATAGACTGAGGCTCTCTTCATACTGGGGGTCAATGAGACCAGGATTGACTAAGTCCTCTTTTCTGCCCAACTCCACAAGAAGGAAGAAGGAGGGAAGGAAGGAAGGAAGGAAGGAAGGAAGGAAGGAAGGAAGGAAGGAAGGAAGGAAGGAAGGAAGGAAGGAAGGAAGGAAGGAAGGAAGGAAGGAAGGAAGGAAGGAAGGAAGGAAGGGAGGGAAGGAAGAAAGAAAAAGAAGGAAGAAAGAAAAAGAAGGAAGAAAGGAAAGGGGAGGCAGGGAGGAAGGAAGGAGAAAGGAAAGGAAAGGAAATGAAAGGAAAGGAAAGGAAAGGGAAAAGGAAAAGGAATAGGAAAAGGAAAAGGAAAGGAAGAAAGAAAGAAAAAGAAATTCTTCAACCTCATTATGAGTTTCCTGAAAAATACACTAATTGCTAGATTCTTCTAAAAGGTACCTACTGTCGAAACACTCCTTAGGGTCCCCCTAATCCTCATGACTTTGTTTACCTGGACAAAAGCCTGTTACCCACAGCACCCACCTCCAGGATGACTCTACTCTATTATATGAAAAGTGGTGAAAAGTCAGCTGTTATTCTGGAATTGGAGGGTCATTTGGGTTTCTTTTTTGTACTATGCCTAGCACTTTCATTTTAATCCTACATAGGGATTAAGAGCACAAAAAAGCCCAGGGCACATTTGATGACACCCACAAGGTGAGGACCATCAGCTCATTGCAAATGGATACAGTGTGTGCCCTGCTGTCTTTCTGTGAGAGGCTGACTGTGAAACACATCACCTGTGGAAGGCACAGTGCCAGAGAAGGCTGCGTGTTCTCTAATAACCAGAGGCAACAGATGATGCGACTGGAATGTTACATCCTGGGGAGCCCCAATTTCTCACTTCAATCTCTTATGCTTTCAGAGATGGGGCAGTGTTCAACCCAAGACAGGTGGTAAGCAAATTACTGCTTAATGGCTAGTGGTTAAACTGCAAGTAAAAAATAAAGGGGAGAAGAGGGGTGTCCTAGACAGTTTGCTCAGTGGTTAAGAGTGTAGTAGGCCCACAGACCTAAGTCTCAGGCTGCGTTCCCATTTAAGGCTCCTGGTCGGGGTGTGAAGGAGAGGCAACCAATAGATGTGTCTCTCTCACATTTATGTTTTTTTCTCTCTTCCCCCCATGTACTTTCCTCCCCTCCATTCTTCTTAAAAAAAAAAATAAAAATTTTAAAAAAGCAGGGAAAAGTATCCTAGGATGAGGATAAAAAAATAAAAATTAAAATGAAGGTGGGCAAGAAGAGAAGAGAAGAGAGAAGAAGGGGTAGGAGGGAATAGAAGAGGAAGAGGAAGAGGAGGAGAAGAAAGTAGACCTGTCCTTGTTCTTGCAAGTTATTTCCTTTAGGGATATTATTTTTATAAAGGACTTTGTTTTCCAGATAGCACCTTCATATGAGTAGATCTTTTCATCATTACGCAGTCCTGTAAGGTAGATTATTACAGAACTAAATAAAGCTCAGGATGTTGAAATGACCTGCCCATCCGCAAACCACGAGTGAGAGGCAGAAACAGTTCTCATGCTACTGTTCTTTCTACAAGTCCCAGGTGACATCTGCCTCTTCACCTGTTCTTTTCCTCTAATGACTCTACAGCCGTCTGCCCAGCACTGGCGAAAGTCCCTGGTTTCCTTCCTCCACCAGCCGGTGGTGTGGCTGGTGGCAGCAACGCCCCTTGGCACTTCATGCCGTGAAGGGAAGATGGATCACGGTGCAGGAAAACATCTGAAGTTTGTTTCTCAGTGTCCAGTCTCAACCCCGCTCTCTCCTTCCCGATGTGCTGCAGATGGAGGAAGACCGAGAACACACCTATGCTCAACACACTCAAACTCACAGGCCGGCTTGTGTACCCCCAGGAAATGCTCTCATGACATTTTCCCCAAACTGGCTTCCACTGGGTATCTCAATGCCACCATGATCTAGCTGCTCGTTTATTACTTAAATATTTCAATGGGGACATTTTCCATTGGTGTTCCATTTACAGCGATGGTAAGAGGAATTAGGTGATGAAAATCAAAACAAACAAAAAAAAAAAAAACTAAAATTATTGAAAGGATTTTTAAATATTAAATAATCCCCAGAAAATGTTCATGGAAAACATCTGAGCTTCCAGATTATATGAAACAAAAACAGGCAAATTCATGTGTTTTGCCTCTGCCCTCGAATATGGAGCCTTAAGTAACTGTCATGTCAAATGAACATGGAACAGTGGGTGGGAGAGGGGATAGCTGCTGGGATAAACCTATTATACTTCTCACCTATACTGTGCAGTTCTCTTCGATTCCGTTAAGGAAAAGGAAGACCGGAGAGGATGATTAACTTGGCTCAGAGGCACGAGTGGCAGAGTTGGAGGGGGCTAAGTTTCTCCAGTTCCAGAACTATCCCAGAACCATTCCAAAATGGATGGTGTTCTATTGCACCATCTGCGGTTCCTGCCATTTCTCATAATCCATCCAGTAGGACGAGCCCAAGAGGTCTAAGTGCTTTGAAAACTATGAATGAAGACCTTAAAAATGGGTGCACTAGCCATCTCCCCTGAATGCACAATCCATATGCCCCAAAGGGCTCTCAAACTCTTCACGGGCACTGCTGTGTATGAAGGCTCACATGCACAGGCAACCTATGCCTGACACCCACCGTCCAGGGACACCTAGTGCTCTCGGTCCAATCTGGTTTCGGTGGGCTGTTTCTTTTTAAAAAGAACTTACGACTGCCCCAGCCACTTCCTGGTCTTCCCTTTCTTCTAATACTTAAAAGACTTCAGGGTTTTCTGCAGCTTTGCAGCTAATCCACAAAGATGGTTCTGCCTTTCAGAACAAAGACAGCAGCAGCAGCACAGCCTGCGGGGGGAACGTGCTGTTTAGAAGAACAGGGTTCTCCGTGTACCGCTCCAAAGTGCCATCCTGTGCAGCACCTCTGGCCTGAAGCTACCCCCTGAGCACAAGGGGACGTCGTGGGGACAGGAGTACTTCCTGTTCTCGGGCAGGCGATGAACTCCCTCATTCTGTCAGTGGAAAGAAAGCAGCGCTGACTGTGAAGATATGAACAGAAGTCCCATCTAGCTCTCACGCTCTACGGCTCTGGGAAGAAGTCCTGCCACATCCTAACTCAGCATAAAAAAAAAAAAACAAAACTAGAGCATCAAACTACTAAGCCAGAAACTGAGTTTTTCAAGCAAGGAGACAGTTACACTGCAGCCCCCAAACACTGATAGCTTTGCTAAAAGGGATATGCTAATTTCTTAAAAGCACTTCCACACATTCCCTCCCATGGGGAAAGAGAGGCTCCCACAGGCCTGCCCTTGCTTAGGTGTGCACACACTCACGCCCCTTACCAAACGTCACCTCTCCTTTGCCAGCTTTGTCAAACAGCTGGAAGGCCACCATGAACAAAGCATCCGGGGCGCACAGGACAGATTCAAAGGCTACAAATTCTTGAAAGGATATTAATCTGCAACATAAAACAAGCACAAAGCATAAAGTCAGTAGCCTGCAGAAAACAAAAGCATACGCAAACTTGTACTAAGGAAAAAAATAAATAAAACTCAAAGCTAAAAACACTTAGCATTTCCTTTTATATACAGTGGCTGAAATGACAAGGTACGGAACCCAAAAGGGGTGACAGGTTGGAGGATACAGTGACACATTATAGATGCATTATATGGTAATCTCAAATGTAACTTTCCCCCAACATTATCACTTTTGTTTCAGGCATAGTGTTGGATTCCAGAATTAAAGCTTGGATACCGTGATAAAGATGTGATTGTACAACAGCAAATAGAGCAGCTTTGTCATTCATTAATAATTTCTTTATATACGATGGAAGAATGCTTCACAGAGATTCATTCATTATTGACATCTACTGACCCGTGTGGATTAAACTAGGGATGATAGTGGCAAAGGGGGTTAGAGTACAGATAAATCCAATAAAAAAATGTGACAGCGAGGAACCTGCAGTCTGGTAAGGCAAATATAACACTGATGTAGAAATAGTATGCAGGAAAGATAAAGTGTAAGACAGAGAACAGCGTGAAAGCAGAATTCTGCTAAGAAATCAAAGAAGGCTTTGTTGCACCTGAAAAATAAGGGAAATTCAAGAATGCAGTCATGCGCCCATAAGGGAGGGTGCTTCTGCCTGGCCAGTGTTGCTCAGTGGTTGAGCATGGACCTATGAATCAGGAGGTCACGGTTCAATCCTGGTCAGGGCACATGCCCAGGTTGCGGGCTCGATCCCCAGGGTGGGGTGTGCAGGAAGCAACTGATCAATTATTCTCTCTCCATCACTGATGTTTCTATCTCTCTCTTCCTCTCCTTTCCTCGCTGAAATCAATAATATATATACATATATATATATATATATATATATATATATATATATATTTTTTTTTTTTTTTTTTTAAAGGGAGGATACCTTCAGCAGGGAGTATGCCTGCAGCAAGGCAGGTGCAAGAAAGCTGGGCATGTACGAGGAGAATAGTGAGAAACAGACTGGGTCTGTACGGTGGGATGCATTAAAGAGAGCACTGTGAAATGAGACTAGAAGTATAAGACCACAGTTGGGTCTGAAGACAAGTACAGGAAGCAAGGAGTGATTGAAAGTTTCTGAGCAAGGTCATGACATGATCAAATTTATCTGACAGGAAGAGCACGACAGGCCAGAGATGCTTTTGACTTTCAAGAGGTAAACAAAGGCACAAAATCTTTTCTAAAAATGTTCTTTGCCACTATTTTTGTATTTTAAATATCCAACTATGCCAATGGTACATTAAGAGAGTCCAAGTTTCTGTATGCTAATAGAGAGGAGAAGAAATCAGGAGCGTGTTCCAATGTTTCACAGAATACTTAACTATTTCTAAACATCTGATAGAGCATATTTTATAGAATGTCTTACAAAGCTACCTTAGCTGTTCTCACAAATGTCACCTGGTTATAATAATGTCACAAAGAAAGGAGAACCTCATGTTGTATTCCAATGCACGATCTCTGTCATTCACCACCCAAACCATCCTGGCAAGTGCATGGGAACATTCAAGAACAGCATGTGTTACAGAAGAATATGTGCCCAGAACGTTCTATCCGCTACTACGCAGTCCATTCCACTGAGAATCTATGCTCAAGATCAGGGGTGGGGAGGGAGGGGGAGGAGAGCTAATTCCAGTCAAACCTTTCTAATTGGCCTAAAAGAGCTTATAACCTTTTAGGGAAGGAGAGGAAGTCATGTGCATATATACCCACCAGAATGCAAGAGCTGAGGGTCACAGTAAAAGAAGAAATAAAACCACCAAAGGGCACAAAAGGAGGAGATTTATTTTGCCTAGAATTGGGCAATGCTTCATAGAGGTCTGCATTTAAAGAAGACATTTTAAAATTGACAAGATCTTAGAACTCATCTACTTTAACCTCCTCATTTTACTTCTGAGAGAACTACCGTGTTTCCCCGAAAATAAGACATCCTCCAAAAATAAGACCTAGCGCATGAAAAGATAAGACATCCCCTGAAAATAAAACCTAGCGCAACTTTGGGAGAAAAAATTAATATAAAACACTGTCTTATTTTCGGGGAAACAGGGTAGAACTTAATGACTAGTATCAAGTGAACAATTGGTTTCTGGCATTTGGGCCTAACAGCCACGTGTCCTGGTTTCCATTTAACTGAGAGAGGATTCCAACCGGTATAGGAAGATCGGGAGAAGAGAGAAGGGTCCAGAGAGGCTATGCCAACCTGAGGTAGGAACGGAGCAAAGCTAAGACAATGCTATGTTTCCAGAAGGATGTCAGTCACAAGGAGTAAAGAAAGAAGTGGCTTGAGCTGTAATGGCAGCTAACCTGTGAGGGGCCTTCAAGGCAGTGAGGAGTCACTGAAAGTTGTAGGATTGATAAATATAAGATTCACATCTTTATTTCAGAAAAGGAACAGGTGTGGAAGATGAATTTAACAGAGGATAACAAGATAGCATGAGAGTGAGGGCTAGCTTGGGGTTCTCACCCAGGGCTAGAGGACCAGGACTGAAAAACGAGGAAGGGAGGCAGAAATGACAACACCTGGGAGCTACTGGATGTCAGCGGCCAAGTCACTCCACCACTTCTAACTTTGGTGACTGAGTGGGATGATGATGCCACCAAAGATAAAGGGGGGTAAGGGGGGAGAGAAAGGAATAGGTGGAGAGAAGGGAAATGAGAGAGTAAGACCAATTCTGACCAGGTTAAGTGTGAGATACAAGTCGGACACTGAGGTATGGTATCCAGCAGAAAACCAAAAGGACCAGGCATGGAACTCAGGAGACAGTGTGTTCCCCTGCGACCTCATGCTGAAGTCCTAACCTCTAGTACCTCAGAATAGGAGCTTATTTAAAAACTAGAGGCCTGGTGCACAGATTCGTGCACTGGTGTGCTCCCTTAGCCTGGCCTGCGGGGATCAGGCCAAAACTGGCTCTCCAACATCCCCCCCGGGATCCCCGATTACGAGAGGGTGGTTCTCAGGTGATGAACCCTAGAATCAGGCTCCCTCCTCTCTGGTTCCAGATGCGTCACCCGAGAACTACAGCTCCCAAGTCACTGGAGCTCGGCAGCTCCTATGTTGAGCATTTGCCCCCTGATGGTCAGTGCACATCATAACTGGTTGGAGCATCTGCCTCCTGGTGGTCATTGTGCCTCATAGCTACCGGGTGAATGGTCGGACAGTCGGTTAGGCTTTTATATATATATATAGATAGATAGTGTTGTTGCAGATATAATTAGTTAAGATGAGCTCCTAGTGGAGTAGGGGGGTGGGGAAGGGGCACCTGATCCAATGTGAATACAGTCCTTATCAAAAGGGGAAATGTGGACACAGACGTGCACCCAGAGAATGCCAGGTGAAGATGAAGGCAGAGGTCAGGGTGATGCTTCTATAAACCGAGAACATCAAAAATTGTCCGCAAACCACAGAAGCTGAAAGGGAGGCATGGAGCAGGTTGTGCCTCTGAAGGAACCAACCTTGCCAACACCTTAATCTTAGCCTCCAGAGTGTGAGACAATACTTTTTTTTTTTAAGTCACTCAACTCGTGGTATTTTATTACAGCAGCCCTAGCAAACTAATACAGGGACCAAGATTTGGGAGTCTTTAAATAAAGGCTACTTAAAGCTGTGAATGAAACTGCCCAGAGCATTTCAATCGGAGATGCACGTTCAGACTACTGAAGAAGTACAGAAAAAAAAATGTGTTTCTGATTGTCTGTTTCCTTCTCACCACCCCTCCTCACACCCCCGCTGAGCAGGCCCCAGCAACCACACAGCCACAGTGCTCACCAGGTTCACTTGCTGCCAAGTAAAAGGCAGAAAATAATCTGATTTGGTCGATTTTTCCTGAACAGATGATACAGTAGTTAAGAGTGAATCACACCTACAGTGTGGTATCTAGAAAAGGCACACTTTATTCTTTTTAAAAATATATATTTTTAAAATTGATTTCAGAGAGGAAGAGAGAGGGAGGGAGAGAAAGAGAGAGACATCAATGATAAGAGAGAATCATTGATCAGCTGCCTTCTGCACACCCCCTTCTGAGCCCACAACCCAGGCACGTGCCCTGACCGGGAATCCAACTGTGACATCCTGGTTCATAAGATAGAGATCAATCACTGAGCCACACCAGCCGGGCTAGAGAAGGGACATTTTTAAAAATTTAATGATTTAAATAAAGAAAAGCCTTAAATAAAACAAAAAAGAGCATCTTACATCTCTCAAAATGGTACAAGAAACCTGAAGGCTATGGCTGTGCGTGAACAAATCCTCTGGCAACGTCAGAGTGCTTTCATAACCACAACAGGCCAATGAAATACTCTGGTATTTTAGACATGTCACAGATACCAGGAAGGTATGTGATTTGGTAATCCTGTTAGATATAAGTACTCTACATCGATGTAGGAGGTACACAGATGAACCGTGAAATCACAATGTCTTACTGTTCATTAAGATTATTTTGGATTTTCAAGGTAATCTGACGAGAAGGCTACCAAAGTAATTATATAGTACTATATTCATTTACGGCATGGTATCTAAAAGCATTTATATATGTTTTCCATATAAACAGTTCTTCAGTCTTGCTTTACAGATTTAATGGGTATTAACAAAAATTACAACAAAGAATACAAGCTTAATCAAGTTCAGACCTGGCTGCTGAGTTTGCTTCGTTCCCTTCCCACCCTCCACTCCCTAAACGCCTTTGACAATGTTAGATGTCTTTTAAAATAAATCACGCAGCTCTGATGAACTCTACCTCCTCTAGAAGGAAAAGTATTTGACATTAAAGCTTACCTGCAACAACTAATAATGAGACATGGGCCAGCTAACATGGAAGCAAACAAAGAAGTCACGCTTTCATGGACCTACACTGCTCAGAGATCAGATTTCTAACTACTTGATTTTATGGTTCTGCTGCTACCAGAGATTTTTTTTTTTTTTTTTTAAGTAAG